CCCCTGCAATTAACCGCGCACCAAAATAGTTACGTTAAAGCTTAAGCTGTGTGTTTTAAATCTTAAGGCAAAAGTATATGCTACGTATTAGATTTGAGCACCTAGGGTGGCTTGCAAGCACAGGGCAACTGCAAGAGCTAGGATGGCCAAGGTCCTCATCAAGCTAAAGTTGGAAGCCATGGATTCTAATGGAGATAAAAGACGAGATTTGTTGGGTATCTAAGGCTTTTATTTTGTAGCACTGGTGTGCTTCGATGAGAGGAATGCGCTGTGAAGTGTTATGGGGGTAGAAAGGGGTCCTTTATAGTTGGTTTGGATTTGCCAGTTCAGCCAGGAAAATCAGCCACGACATCAAGATTTTTCAAACTCAGAAATCGACACAAACCTTACTTTAGATGTTAGTGACCGAAATGGTCGTTATTGGACCCCAAAGTGGCCGTGCTCGATAGGTTTCTATATGTCCTACGAAACAATTGGTCTATCGAGTCAACTACCGCCGCTATCAATGGCGCGCGAATGCCACATTATGGTACGCTGCTTCCAAAAACAGAAATTAATTTTTCATAGTCAGAGTTGGACGGGTCGTCATTCCAAGTTAAACCGTTAATACTTGATTGGGTGCATTTCAGTGAGAATTAGAACTATTGCTATAACTATTTTGCCTAAGACTAAGAGCTATTTAGTTAAAATTAACTGTTTTGGTCAGTCGCATAGGTTTGGTACACGACCGTTTACTAGGAAAATGCTTCTCTCTTTTTTTCCTTTCCAATTTTTATGTAATTGCCGGGAACTTCATTTTTGTTAGCATTTGTTGTACTCCTTTGCTTTTCTCTTTGAGCCAGGCAATATTACTAGAAGAAATGTTCTTTTGCCATTATGAATCAGTTTACGGACGTATTGCAATTTAATGGGGGCTGATCTTGAACCAACAAACTTTAAAGATAACACTGGCCCTTTTCTCATCCTTGTTGAAAACAGTTTTGAGAGTAAAATGTTACATACTTCATCTATTCATAAGCCCATGGGAGAGTGGTATGATGATACTCGGTAGGTTAAACCAAAATGTAGAGGCAAATATTTTCCGTTTGTGCTTTTTTTTTTCAAGGCTATTTTCCGTTTGTGCTTATAGGTGGTGTACGCCTCATCAAGGCTTCATTCACATTACAGCCTTTTAATTTGTGCTAGTCATTAAGGGTATTCTGTCATTAATTGCAGCATTTCAAGTCATAAAGTCTTGCGAGAGTTAATGTTCTAAGAAATAGAGAATTGGTGTATTCCATCGGGGAATTAGCTAGCTTGGAAACTCAGGCTTCACATGTTGGGAAAGAAACACGAAAACTCTAATCATGACATCATGTAGTTCCCAAAACATCGTTAGCCATCCCATCTGCACAAAAGTCAGCTTCCCCAACATGACAAACATGGCACAAAAGGTTTTTCCTTTTTAAAAGATTAACATTAAGTTAGCATATCCCGCCGGTTTGATAGGGCAGAAAGCGGCGGTGGAGACCACTTTCAAAACCCAACTCTAGTAAAGGTCAAAGAAGGGGAATTATATAGAAATTTATTGGTGGGAACTCTTCGTTAAGTCCTTTCGTATGCAACGTGTAAGAAGTGGTTGATTAGTTGAGAATTAATCGTCGAAAAGAAGAGAAATTAATCATGTCGCAGAAGACAATTCTTCTTCCAAAGGCTGCTAATTAACTCCCAAGATCTAGACTTTTCCACCACAGCGTCAATTACGGGGCCAGATTCAAATCTTAAAGGAGAAACTTGTACATATATTTCTCGTTAGCGCTTAGACTGGCGTAGAGTCTGTTATCTTCCGATTACACCTCCTTTTGGACTTTGGCACTACCCACTAATTTCCCATTATCAGGGAGTAAATAATGGGTTTAGGCTTTTAATTTTACTTACATTTTGAATAAAAAATAAAGTTGGGTCCCAAACTTTTGGAAACAATATTTCTTCTTTTAGGTTCAAGTTCATTTCATTGAAATACTCAAACATCATTCATTTGACTAGTGCCCCGGGTTCGCCTCTTTTATGTTCAATAATTTCCGATGAGATTTCAATGAATGTCATGTGGCACGTTTATTTGAAACGATAGAAAAATTCCCATTATTATATCAAAAAAAGAAAGAAAGAAATGATGTAAGTGTGGAATTTATAATCCATTGAAATATTACGACTTGATGTTGGACTTGTACCCGAGGTCGGTTATTGACTTATTTCCATAATTTCGATAAACATTTATAAGATGAATGGCGCGAAGGTGTCTGTCACAACTTTATTTTGAATTAGCGGTAGAGAATTGGTTAGCCTGTTAATGCCTGCTGTTCCATTAACGTTAGCATTTAATCTCTATAAAATGAAACGTTGAAATTTAATCCATATATGCTAGTTTGCATTATAAGAGAAGAGTTACGGATTATATCTACGAATATTATCAACTTTTAATAATTGAATTTTTTCTTCAAAAAACAAATATTGAATTTTAGTTGTCCATAGTATAAAAATTTACTTGAATCCAATGCACTAATAGTTCAGATAATTTAATTATATGATGTCAATTTTCTTGTTGTCACTTTTCTCTACCGTTACTATGTTTGTTGTTCACAGGGTGTTATTGCAGATATGTGTGTTATTAAAAGAAATATTTTCAATTAAGTTTTTAAATATTTTGTATTTCATTGTAAGTTCAATTGCGTGTGTTAATGCTTGTGTAATAAAATTTTTAAACTATAATAATGTAATTCAAAAATAAAATAATTGATAATTAAAATTACAGAAATCATAAGTATTAATTTTAATACTTAAATTATCAAAAGTATTTAATTCAAGCACATCAAAAAAGTTGAAAGTAAAAGATATAATTTGAAAATTATCAAATTATAAAAAATTATTTTGCTGAAAAAGGAAAAGGAAATAGTGGAAAGAAAAAAATGGAAAACTTTCATATATTGATCCTCAAAGAAAATAAATACTTACTTTGTAAAGCAATTTATTCTCTTTTCTTTTTGTTAATTTCAAAAACTTTATTAAAAATAACATTGAAGATATATTTGCATCCTACTATCTTTCAAAAAAAAAAATATCTGCATCCTTCTATGGCTTTGGGCTTGGGCTTGTTGTCAGGGCAGAGCTTTTTCCATTTCGCATGGGGAAGGTTGGCCTTTAGGTTCTCTACAGTCTATACCGTGCATGATAATTACAATTTTGGTTTCTCACATTCATGGTTTCATTTTAAGTTGTAAAGAGTTCTTTATCAAGTCTGGCTTTTGTCTTGTCTTTTGTGTTTTTTCCAAGTGAAAGTTAAACACGTTGTTTTCAGCCGATTCTCAAGTCAATATTGCAATGAAAGAAATATCGAAGGATGGACGGGTGGATTGTTGAAAAAAAGGCACGGGAAACGACTTTATGTTTGTGTGGCAGAACAGTATATAGTACAGAACCTAACAATGCCATTTCAAAATTCATGGAGGAATCGGACAAGAATCGACATGATAAGACCACTAAAATATAGAGATATTTGCAGCTCAAAAGGCAGTAATCCACCTCAGTTTTAGGCCAAATGGCCAATCGTTTGATGACACACCAAAACTTGTGGACCCGCGAGAAAGAGTTGATCAGCCAGTTTTGCCTACAACTTTTGCGTAACTTGGTGTGAGAGTCAAGTGGCTCATAGGGTTTTAAGGTGAGATGCAACTTTTACGTGCTTTTTTTTTTTTAATATTTTTTTATTTTTTATCATGATGAATCACCCTTTGGATTGTTACTGATACATGCAAAAGTTTGAACTTGAGATTTGCTAAAATAAGAAAATAAAATCACGAGAATATAGTTTCTGGTTTCCTGATCTGGGTTGGTGAAAATTCTAATCAATATACAATAGAAGCTTTAATTTTGTATTTGAAAAACATTTTCATTAATAGCTTTAGCTAGAACTTGTGGGGCTGTTGGGTTCAAACAGCCGTGTATGTAGCAAAATTGAAATCTAATCTAATCTTTATGATTTTTATAGGTTTTTAATCCTTTTATCATCACCGGATTCAAGAATTTCAATAAAAATTAATCCTAGAGGAAAAGAAATATATATAGTCCAGCAGCAAATGTGCTCGGAAAGAAGTACTAGAACCTAGCTGGGGATTCAAAGTCACTTTTAAGTTTTGCATGATAAACTTTTTTAAAAAATGAACATGTAAATTTGATTTCCAAAAGGGAAAACGTTAAAACGAAACAAGTATATTGATGGTTTCAGTGGTAATACTTTGATTTGGTGAGGTACAATATCTATCAACAAGAAGCAATTGATCAGAACAATTGAAAGGTCAATTAATTAGAATATCAAAGTACTAATTACTGAATGAGCTATGTCATTGAACTTAGCCCCCCAAGCAATGATATCAACTTTGAGTTTTATTAATTTTTGTAAAGAACGTATACATTAACTCGTTTAATAAATGTATAAACAAATAGTGGCGTAAAATACTAGATGATGGTAACATTTTATACATAATTAATGAAGACAAAATATTGATATGGTATAGACTAATTAATCACTGTAATGATAGATGAATTATCATTCACTCGTGTTCCACAGTTGCCATGTCCATTTAATATATTAATAAAGACAAACTTAGTAACAAAACAAGCGCCAGAACATTTAATTCATTGGTTGATGCATTATTCTCTTACTTAAAAAGTAAGGTTCAAATCTCTGTTTTAAATTATAAAAAAAAATCCAATAACAAAACAATTAGACAAATATCATATGGAAAATGGAAACTGAAAAATCCAACAATGATGATTGATAGGCTTGTCAATGAGAATTCATATTGGTTTTTTGCCAAATGTTGTCGGATAAAAATCTCGAATCTGACCTGTGGTTCTGCAGGATATGTCTGGCCGGCTGTGAGCTGATACATTTCTGCCATGGAAAAACTAAAACCAAAATCTTATTTAGGCTTAAGGCATGAATTTACACTACGGTATTATACAATAATATGCATTATATATAAACCCGAATGATGTTGAGCTCTGAATTACCTAAGTTAATTATTTATCTAAGCTGAATGGTACTAAGAATTAATGTATCAGAGAAGGTGGCTGGACTCTTTAATAACAGCATATCTACATAGCTTTTCTTTCGGAGTTAATTAATGACGCAGGGATTACACATATAAATCTACAGCTAAAACCTTTACAGCTACAGCATCTACTTTATGGACCTATTTATTCTATGATGAAGGTACAAAAGTTTCCACAGCAATTAAAGTTTAGTATTACAAGTTCATATGTGTACCAGCAACTATGTATTTTCTAGTACAATTCTGTATGATGTTAATTAGATTATTTGTTTGAATGTGAATGGATGAGATTCTTAGTAATTAAGTTAGTTTGCTTAACTGTTTAAGAGATTTTGACTTAGTTTAAATGATCTTTGATTTTTTTGTAAAAATTAAGATTTTAACAAGTTAGTGGATACCAATCAGGTTAGATTCTGTGTTATGATTCAAACTGATAAATCATAGAGATCCACTAATTCAAAGCAAAGCTAATATGTATGAATCTATTGATCTGGTACACAAAACACATGCATAACAGTATAGATTTTGAAGTGTGTAAGTTGAGTACTCAGGAATCAGTCTCCTGCTTTTCCTGCAAAAAGGCTATGAAAAGTGTTAGCTAGAGAATCTATCCCTATTTGAACCAGACCCAGAAACTTTTTTCAGCAGTTTCATGTCGTGAAATAGAGCAGTAGTTTTTCTGTAAACGAAATTGAAGCACTGTCTTGAACCCTGGTATCGACAAATCAAAAACCACTTTCAACACAATCGGTAGCACACTTAGCAAACTCCATATATACTATCCTGGAGGAGCTCATACTGGCCCATACAATATGGGAGTTTCATATGTACACTAGAAAACACATAAAAATACAGGGGAAAGAAAATCTTTACTCATAAAAATCCATGCTTTCCACAAATGAGAGAGAAAGGAAAAAAACATGTAGAAACATGGCAGGGGCTTACCAGGAGCAGGAGGCTTGACATAAATTTAGAGCTACCGATGGAAAATTCCGAAGGGATTGCATGATCCAATGAGTGAACTGAATCAACAAAAGCTTATACCAGTTTCCATGAATTCATTCAGTAATCCAGGAACACTATTAGATCAATGCGATCCCTTTGGAGCTCTCCACCTGCCTAAGAACATCAGAACATGAAAGTGGCAAAATTAATAGACTTTGTCCTTTCTTTTTTTATTTTTCTCTTGTAGTAGGTCGGGAGACTGGGAACTGTAACCGGCTTTTCTTTGTGAAGCGTTTGGGTAAAACCCAAAGCTGGGTTTTGATTGTTTCTTGATTTATAGAGGAAGAAAAAGATTGGCCGTAGCTGTTCGACTACTGTTACGCCCGTTATCTTATGTTCACGCATTTCGTGTGATGGGAAGTTAGGCGGCTCGCAATATCATCTTTCTTAGGTTGATGAAATTACTAAAGTAGCCCCACAGAATTATTAGTCCCCTCCCCAAAATGCAAGATCTTACCTATTTTCAACCAGGAAAATTTCCCTTTGACTGCTAATTTGATTAAATAATGAGTGTACGTACGTATCTATTATTCAAATATGAAACTCAAGCTTTTTTCCGGCTCTCAATAAAAAAAAAAAAAGATTTAGTTCAATGTAACTTTGCTTATACTTGAAGAAGTCTATGACTTGAAATTTAATTAATTAAAAAACACTTTAATTCAACTTACATATATGCAAATTGTCGTAGGCTTTTAATTCTACAAGCGTTAGAGAGAAACAATGGCACATAAAATAATTAATAATTACGAATTATTCTAAAGATTATAATCTTGCCAATTAACTAGTAATAAATTTAAAAACATTTCAAATTTCAAATAAGCTTGTATATTAATTTGTCACACTTATACATACATTTATTTTTAATTGAACACGTCAATTAATATTATAATTCAATTTTATTTTTGTAACTAAAATCAAATAGACACTCGCTCAACATATAATCTTACTTTTATCTTGACTTGCAGACTAATCTATGGAATGAAAACAGTGAATATATATATACATATGCATTATACAATATCATATAATATAAACCAATCTTTATTTTTAATCCCATAGTACTCTAGTACCTAATTTGTTATCATATTGATAGGCAACCAACTGCCCGTTGTTTATATCGCATGTGCATGACTATAGAGATAAGGTTCAAGGATAGGAATTTATTTTTCCTTATTACAAACCTACAACCATTTGCAAGAAAAATAAATAGAGTTTTGACTTTGTAGTATTTTTGCAAGCGGTTTGGAGGTACGTTTACATTTAAGGCCAAGCACGTGTGAGTGCGAAACCAGGGCTGGAGGGCGGGTGATGCGGTCGCTTTCTAACCCACGAGGCGTTTCCTGCCCAATCTTGGCAAAAGGTTCTGTCTTGATAATCAAATGGCCTTGCCATGGTATTGTTTGTCTAGAAATGGTATTGTACGTGCTCATAATTCTGGCGTTTGGACCTTTCCCGAAAAACAGAATATCTGGCTTTGGAATATTTTTAGATATAAATACTTATTTTTCGTTTTTAAAAGCATATATCTCAGTTATTAATTAAAATTTCCACAACTTTGTAAGTTAAAACGTTACGTTCTATTTTACCAATACACGTGCGTTGGTCAGCAACATATACATGCACTTAGTTCAATTTTACATTGGTTTGTTTATTAATTTCTTTCGTGGATGTATAATTTGATATATATATAAAAAAATTATTTGATTGTAATTATAATTTTTATTTTATAATATACAACCTCATAAAAATAGAAAAAAAATTACTTTTCAATGGAAAGAAAAGAATAAAATTGTTAGTGTTCAGAATACGATGAGGAGACGTATCATTAACCATTATTCTCAAATACCGTTGGACAAACTTTTTATTATTAATTAATTGATTGGCCTTTTGGCCAAATATTATTAATTGACTAATTCATCCTAAAGTGACAGGCTGGCCAACAAAGAAGATGCGGGAAGCACACGTACACCTTTACATCTTTTTCACATTAATTTATCATCGAGACAATTAGACTACGACACACGCTCATGCTAATAAGAGGGGGCAATGCCAGTAAATATAGAGGACAGACAATATAATGATATTCATATGGGTTTTAAGGCAGGTAAGAGTAACAATCAAACAGCTAATGTTGTTAGGAAGAAACTGAACACCTAGTCCATTTGAGAAAATGACTGCATCCCCTTTCCTTTCTCTTCTTTATTATTGTTATCTTTCTTTTTATATTATATATATCAGCTGCTATTTCGCACGGAGACGACATGCATCCATGGCCGTACACAATTGCCAGACTGCTCTTGGGAAATCTCAGCTCTTCAGATTTCATTACCTTGGCCTCAGTTGGTCAATTGGGTCCATCAATAACATGATAGAAACTTTGTCTCGGGAAAATATGCTTCTGATTAATTTCTTATTTATTGTCCGACCCCTCTCTCTTTTTCATGCGAAGGAACCATGATGGGATCCCTTTCCATTCTTCGGATTAGTAACTTTTGAGAGCTGTTTTTGGAATCAACTAATGGCTTTCAATTAAGAGCTCTCTAACAAAAAGATATACACCGAGTCACTGATATACAAAGAGTGCAGTGCAGATGAGAGAGGGTGCAATTGCTTGAAGAGTTTTCACATCAACTTTTAGAAACATATCTGAGTGGATATAGGCTTTCATTTTCAATCATGTCGTTGGAAAGTTTCCATTAAGCGATTAATTAAGAAACTATTCTGGAAGAATGGATTGACATGACTCATGACTTCTCTTTGAAAATTCTAAAAAAACTGTATACTTGCTATGTTCTAACCAGAAAGAAAATTAAATGGCAGGGCGATTGTAAAATTTACCCAAGATTTCTCGTTAAGAGTCACGGGAATGGTTTTAACAGTTGGAGCCTCGGATGCATACAAATCACACTAGTACTTGCTAGGTATACACCATAACATCAAGAAGGAAAGAACATCATATGTACTAGCCAGCTAGCTCGTCGTATCAGAGCTATCCATTATATAGATTTCATAATCGATGAAAAGCTACAATAAGATAAGTAAACTTGACAATTAAATTGGTGGCTGTGTACGATTTTGTCCCACAGAAAAAAATTATAACCACTAGTAAATGGAAGGTGCGGCCACTGAGAAAAGCAGACTCCCATTTCCCATCATAAGCACGAAAGAGAAAGAAATTTTTGTGGTCGAATGATTTGAAAGAAAATTGGGCATCAGTGCAGAAGCTCATGAACCGCTCCTCCATGTCCGCCCAATTCAGTGAACAGATTTCAGAGAAGGGTAAAAACAAAAGAGAAGCATTCCATCAGCATTTCTGATCATGTGAGGTGCTAGCATGGTTCAAACCTACCAACGCCATATTTGAGAGGCACATCACAAGCCCCACACCACTTGCATATGCCCCGCATGATCTCCCTCTCATGCATCTTACATCGATGTGTCCCCTGGATTCGTTACCTGTGGGGTCTCTCTGTTCTCCCTCTTTTACAACTGAGATATGGCAAAAGTTCCTAAACCCTCTTTCCTATTTCTTTTCTTTCCCCCGACTTTACCAGGTTGTCCACTTTCACCAAACTTTCTGATTCCCTTCTACCTTTAATTTCACATTTGTAATCAGGATCTGGTTCCACCGCTTCTTTTCTGTGAGAAAGAACTATAATTAAGTATCAAAGGTGATGACCGGTTCGCATTTCTAACAACTGAGAGGAGAGAAAGAACTATAATTAAGTCTCTTCTCCGAGTCAAGCTGAAATATTGGACCGCCGTTCCCTGTACAGTTTTCCGTATGGAAACTTGAAGCAATACTTAGGTGCCTGCAAAGGTTTGAAAACTCGAAATATTAGACCTCCTAAGCCCATCTTATCTTTTGATGAACACCATAAATTTGTCTTAAACCATTTACAGAGAAATTTATAATCTAAGGACTCAAGTTGATAAAAATCGAAAGTCAAAATCATCCACAAAATTAATCGACGCTTGTCTTTATTAAGAAAACTAACGTGACCAACATTTTGGTTTAGGTCGGCAGTGCAGTGCCCAGGGGTGACGAAAACATTAGCCAGCAGTCTAAACGGGCGGGAGAGACCATGTGAATTAGTTGAAAGTATTCGGAAGGATTGCTGACCCACATTTTTCCAGTTGATGAATTTGAAGCAGGAACAACTTTGAAATACTTGTGCCTTAAATAGTATTAGTCTTAATGATTTTAAAATATTGGAATGTGCATTTGAAGTTTAATTTACTAACATTCAATGTGCGGTCTTCAAAGTCATTCTCTACTCTACTCTACACATGGGAGAGAGTCCATTTTGGACTGGGTCTTCGACAGTGATAGAATCAAAATTTTAAATTTGAAAAAATGAAAAATTTAATACTTAAAAAACTTAAATTACAAAATTTTTAAAAATAAAAATAAAAATATAAAATCTTAAAATAAAATAAAATAAAAAAAGTTTTAAAGTTTTAGGAGGGAGCGGGGCGCCTACTAGCCCCCTCCCGCCGTCTCCGGTCTCCGAATGATAATGTCTTCAATAATCTACTGAACTTTATAAAAAATGATTCCTGGTGTGATTCTGATTTCTAGTTAATGAAAGCTATTTACGCATCCTAAGAAGAAACAAGGGAGAGTAGTTAGTCAGATATGACTTTTAGGAATCTCATTTTTCTTCATTCGGTACTCAAAAAAGCTAAAAGAAAAACAAGAGAAAAAGAAAGATTTGAACTTTAGCATATTAATTAATTAATTAATAGGAAAAAAAACTCCTAACGTAGTATTATTTTTATTACAAGTAAATAAGATTAATTAATATGACAATTAGTCTGTATGCAAATTACATGTCAATTAAAAGCTAGTAAAATCAAAAGGTTACATCGTCTAACTTTTCTTTGACTTATTAAGGGATGGTAAAGAAATTTTTTTTATTTATCTTTAAGCAGGCATTTGGGCTGTGGCAGCTATTTAGCCCATAGAGATTCAGCATTTAGTGGGGTGTATCAAAGGCCCCGAAGGCTTGAATTAGTATAACGATGTCGGTTACCACAATTATTGGGCCCGAAACAAATCAGCGTGGTTAGACTTTAGAGAGAAAAAAGGGAACGCCATAGGAATGAGGGCCCAACCGGGTTCGAACCGGTGACCTCTTGATCTGCAGTCAAATGCTCTACCACTGAGCTATGGACCCTTGTTATGGTTCCCGTCCTATAGAAAATATTTGGCTGTAGTTTGGCTGATAACCCTTCGCCCCTTCCCGCCTCCGATTCTTTTTTTCTCTCTCTCGGTTTCCATCGGAGCAAACC